TTTTTATTGTTTTTTAAATAACAAATGTCCCACTTTGATTCTGACTGGAACCAAACATCTTAACTAAACAACTGCTGTATCATTAAATCAAAAATAAAAAAGATGTTTTAAAACATTTGCAGCTTTCAGAGATTTAGACACATTACACTAAAAGAATAAAATACTTAAGCCAATTCTAAAAAGAAACTTTAAAAAACTTATTGTGTTCTGTAGTAAAACACCTGTAGCGTGAAGCTCCAAGCTTTTAACTGCAGGATCTCATCACTCAGCTGGTTTGAGATTAAGATTCTCAAAACATCTTGTGGAGAAYTGAAGTCCAGTTATTTTGCTTTAAAACTTTCTGGATTCTATTTGTCCTGAGATTTTACAACAGCTGATTGATGCAAAAATAAAAACCCAAATATTACATTATGGAGATGTTCTGATTGCCTCAGAGGCACTGGGATCTGGAAGTCAGATCCAATGTAATTGTGATCCAGTTTCAGGTCAGAATCCAGCAGGATGAGCAGGTTAAAGGTCGTTAGCAATACAAGCTAATGATGGATTTCTGATGTATGACTGATGGAGCTTGGACAAGACTACGAGTCTGAGTTACTGAGACACAAACTGACAGAAGTGGAAATAAAGTGTTTATTCTGCAGCTATCACAACTTTTCATCCACAAGGCGGCCATRTTGGATTCTGAGGTCRGAGTTAGTCTGAGTCCAGTTAAGTTTTCATTTGGTCTTTCTGTTTGGTACTCATGGAACATGTCTGATGCAAACCCTCTGAAGGACGTCTCTGATGGACACAGGGACATTTCTGTTGGACAGTGGCTTGTCTGTTGGACAGAGGGACATCTCTGTTGGACCACCCGAGGTTGTGAAGTAGAATGAGTGGATGAAGATTGTTTCTTCTGGCTGCAGCTGATTTTATCCTCAAATATAAACTGTAACACAAACACTTGGTGTTACCCTCTGAGCGTTTTTTTTTTAAATTATTTTTATTTTTTGTGTGTGTGTGAGAATGTGTGTGCGCACGCTCGGGTGTTGTATGTGTATGTGCGGTGTGTGTGTTTTCCTGTCACAAACGATCTCACCGGGACTCATGTTTAATTATCTACCCAGCATGCCTCGATGCTGCAGCGCAGCTCTTCTTCTAATGGGATGTGAAAAGGGACACACACTCACAGATTAACACACACAGGGTACACATGTTAACACATACTCTAACGCACACTTGTCAACACACACACACACACACACACTGTGTGGTTAATTAGTGCAATTAGCCTCTCCGGTGTCCAGAGCTCCGTGTTTTCAGGAGTCGTTAACTCGACATGGAGTCACTGTATACTGAAACACACACACACACATACACATCATAACTACACTAACATTCACATTGTAAACACACACACACACAACCAAAGTAACACCAACAATCACTGTAAACACACACACACACACAACCAAAACAACAACAAAAACCAAACTGACTCTAAATACAAACATTAAACGATTTAAATTTGGCCCTCTTTGTTCCCAAAGTGATCTGAGGCATGTAAAAAAATGGCAGGGACAGATACAAAGTGGGTTGAAGTGGATGTGAAGCACGTTGAGAAGGGTACAAAGTGGGTTGAAGTGGGTACAAAACAGGTTGTGGTGGGTACAAAGCGGGTTGGGGTGGGTATGATGTGAGTTGAAGTGGATGTGAAGCGATTTGAGGTGGGTACAAAGCAAGTTGAGGAGGTTACAAAGCAAGTTAAGGTGGGTACAAAGCAAGATGAGGTGGGTACAAAGCAAGATGAGGTGGGTACAAAGCAAGATGAGGTGGGTACA